AAGCGGCTGGCTTGCCGAACAATCTCCTCGTGGTGTCAGCTGGGCGGTTCGGGATTTTCCCGTTCCAGCAAATGGTTCGGCGGCAGTGTCCCAGGACGTGGTGGGTTTTCACCAGGCAAGCGTTCTCCCTATAAAAAGCCACATATGTGACGTGGCGGACGTGACTCGCCATTAAATAACGTCACTACCCCTTGCTTAATACTGGCGAAGCATTGTATTCCAGCGACTTAATGCTGTAATTCTGGGGAGCGTTGGGCCCCTGTTTGAAAAGGAACAAACAAAAGGCGTATGAACTGAACAATCAGTCACCGGCTCCCAATGGGCGCGATTCCCTGAATTCGTTCCGCTGCCTTGCGGGCAGGCTATTCAGCCAAAGGCTCGGGGTGATGTCTCCTAAGTCAACATCATACTTCGAATTGGGCAACCGGGTAGTATCTCGCCCTCTGACGAAATCATGGACTTGAATGTGTTGTGTTGTGTTTTCTTTTACTATTTCTGTGCCTTCTTTGAGTCTCATTGTTCCTGATGCCTCTATGTCTATTCGTAGACTGTTGCAAATATAAGAACACAATGTTGCGAAGAGTACTCTTTTTCGATAAATCTCCTCAGACATTTACGATTATAAAATGGAAAGGTACAAAGAAATTGGCTGATGAAGCCAAAGTGGTGGGAACAGTGGAATCATGACAAGCAGAAACTCAAAAGTCTTGATCAATAAAATTCATTAACAACACATGTGACGAAGCACGTGTTAGTTGATCGGTGGAATGCCAAGTGCATCATCCGACCACTGCAGGCGCACGGAACGATAAAAGTTGGTGAGCTAACTAGGGCCAGGGTAGAAGAAGCCCTTGCAGCAAGGCCTTCTGTTTACATAATTCCGGTTGAAATATTCTAATCGCAATCGCTTCGGCCGTCTGTAAGATTTGCTTTCTGAGACCTTTATTGTACCGTGGTTGTACTACATAAAGTACTTGGAAGGCACCAGCGGTCCTAATTCGGTGTCCGCTTTCCACCAGATGTTCCAGGATGGAACTGTTGGGGCGACTGACGATGCCATTCCGCAAAGCCGCTGGGCAGTGCTCCGCAATGCGTTTAGACAGACGCCTGGTTGTGTGTCCCCAGGCGTTCGACTTCTTAGATTGCGCCCCACGAGTCAAAAAGACAACGCACCGGACAGGAGGTATATTTGCGGAACACTACACGGGCCGGCGTGGGTGTGAAAACACTCTAATTCCAGTTCCAATCACAGCTGAGGGCTAATTTGAATTTATCGATCTCAAAGAACCACGGGACGTGTGAAGGGTATGTAACAAGCAGTAGTAACAAACGTTCTGCAACACAGAAAAACTCTAGTCTGCAGTTATGAACGGGTACACAAGTATACCTGTGTTTTTCTTTCACCACCAACACGTACCTCGCACCACAGGCGCAGGTAAACTGATATAAGATTGGGACTGAACCGGAAGTCTGTCTTTAATGCGTTGGGCTATAAAGGGAGCTGTTTCCGCAAGGACGTGTGGGCATGCGGCCGGGAAGGTTCTAGCCACTGCAGTGGAAATTCTTCTGGTCAACAGATCAAAGGCAACATCGCCTTTAAAAGGAACTGATAGAAACACGTCCTTCTTAGGGACAGTAGTAATCACTTCACGGCTATCGCGGATCACTGCATACTTTTTGATGAATGGTGTCGGATAACCGTTATCTTGCAGCGTTTTGAGAATACGGATCTTTTCGGCCTCTAGCGTCTCTTGGCTGCAAATTTTCGTAGCACGAAAATACAAGCAGCGAACAAGATTACGTTTGTACCTCAAGGGTACAAAGCTCAGAAAATGTGTATATTGGCCTACTCAGGTGGCCTTCCGGAATACATTTCTTTCCAATGAACCATCATTTCTTCGGCTTAGCAACACGTCCAAGAAGGCTAGCTTACCATCTCTTCCGGTTTCGATAGTAAACTTCAACGATGGATGAACACCGTTTAACTGGTTTAACAGATTGGAAACATTGGTGTTTGAATCGCAGATTACAAACGTATCATCCATATACGATGTGTCGTATAGCATCACGCTCCATTATAGCGAGGAAAATATCAGCAAGGAGTGGTCCTAGAGGGGACCCCATCGCAACACTGTCAATCCGTCTGTAGAGTGGACTCCAGTAAATAAAAATTGTCTGTTGAAGGTACACCGTAAAATTAATTCTTTCAGTTTCCTCACCGGAATACCCACATGTATGTTCTTTTCATTCATGTAATCACACACAAAATTGACAGTTTCCATCAATGGAACATTCGTAAAAAGTGACTCAACGTTCAGAGAGAGCATCAATTTGTCATTTACTTTGAGACATTCTACTCGTTTCATAAATTCAAATGTGACTTTCACGGTGTATGTGCATAACTCCTTGCGTACTGGTTCGAGCAAGCCCGCAAGCCATTTCGCAACCGAGGCTGACATATCGATTATCGGACGCAAACGAACTTGTGGTTTATGTACTTTAGATAGTCCATAAAGACGTGGAGGATGGAAACCCACTGGCGTTCGCTGTAATTTTCGCAACATTGTGTTCTTGCATTTCCATGGGTATAATCTACGAATTGTTGCAAATATATATATATATATATATATATATTATACTGGTGTGAAGCGAGGCTGTCTTAGCCTCTGCTCTGTTTTAACACTTAACGCAACGATGTCTGGTAGTTTTGATGCTGCTTATGATTACGGTGCCCGTGTGGAGCACCGTATTAATGGTGGGTTGCTGAACATCGGTCCTTTCGGAGCGAGAACCCGACGGTTGGGTGTTGTTTGCACGTAGTGCGGGTGAGTCGCAACGCATGACGACTGCTCTAGCTTCCACAGCTGGCAAATTCAGACTCGAGTTGCTCATCTGAGTATCGAAGGCGGCTGTCGCATTTAGAAAGCTAGAGAATCGGGGGTGTGGAACAATCATAAGTTGAACATTGGAAGATAGCTGATGGTATACAGGACAATAGTTCTGTAGGTTTTTCGATACGCTAGTGAAACCTGGACGTTTTCCCGGGAGGACGTCCGTTATTTGGAGGGATTTCAACAACAGTGCAGCGTCGTATTCTGCGGATTGGCTGGGGTAAAATAGTTGCAAACGCGGATATGCTCCGACGCAGTGGTATGTATGCAGTGGACTGCATACTTCTACGGAGGCACCTGAGGTGGTTCGGGCATGTTCGCCGCACGGATTCGACATAGATACCGAAACAGCTGGTATATGCTTAACTGTGCGCAGCGAAGCGGAACGTCGGAAAACCGAGGAAGCTCTTGTGTCAAGCGCGAAACGTTGTGCATACACCGATTTGTATTCCAACATTTTAACACTTAGGAAACCGAAGTTTTGTTACAAGAACGCGATCAAGATGAGTCTATCACGAACCAATGTTGATTTCAGGTGTTGGGAAGCGATGGCAGGGGATCAGCGCTGATGGCGAGAGCATATCAAGAGGGTGGGGTTTCCCAGGTGCATGAGAAAGCACTGCTACACATGTGGAACAGAGAGGTCGGTTGAGGAACCCATAAGCGCCGATGGAGGATAGCCCATCGATATCGAGCGAATGATACTGCAGCATAGGTGATCGCGAGTGTCTGAGCGAAGCCAGCTTGGTACGCCAGGAGGGTCGTTACGCGGGTTCAACATGGAAAGGACGACGAATAAGTTGAGTAGTGAATCCTCGTCAGAGCAACGCATGGTATGTACGCTGCCTCCGATTCAATTTACTAACCCAGGCCATTAGTGCCATCGGTGTAGCATGTCCGCTACATCATCGGTGCAGTTGGTCTGTACGTGTTGAGTTGCTACCATTTCAGGTGTTGGTTGTTAAAATCCCCGGTATGGCTGTGCTTGATTTGGATGTTGACAAAATACTTACCTGTCTAGTACGCTCAACCTCGATTACTGGCACCAGGGGACTGTGGATCGTGGCTGGGGCGCACGGCCCTCGTGGCCGTGCTAGACTCAAAGTGTGGTGCTATTCACTGTGGAACGGACTACGGCCCAACCATCACTTTGTGTACATCTGGTACACATACTTCCCCAATTCTACTGACTGGAATGTTGTCGCTGTGCACGTTGATGAAACGTGGCTTCCACCCGGTACTATTCCTTCGGGTTCACATCGGATATGGGGTATGTGGGTGGTGCAGCGCAAGCCACCCATGATCCCTCTGTAGGCGCAGGCGTCCTGTGGCTGTTCGATAGAAGCTGCAGTGATAGGCAAGCGAATGCCGCCGAACATATATATATATATATATATATATATATATATATATATATATATATATAGGCCAACACGTACGATAAACGTCAGGGGGTCGTCCCTTCTCATCGGAACTTGCCATTAGTTTGCGTTGCATTTGCTCAGTGAGGAGATAGAAACTACAACTGCACGTTCGAAATAGCGGTTACGGCTTGTTGCTCACAAAGGACTGGTGGCACCCACTGTGATATAGTGCGATTCATCTTTCACTGCCATGTGTGTTTTCTACGTTTACAGCATAGGGTTGTCCTACTGAGAACCGAACCTCCCTTGCGGAGCCGCGATCATCCAGTGTGACTAAAAAGGAGCTTGGGAAATAAATGATTGTTAGTGAGAATTTACAGAATTTAGGTGGTATACGAACAACTGAGGAGTCACGAAAGGACCAAACGGCCGTCTGGTGCAATTGTGCATGCGTAGTTGTCGTCAGACGGGGTGCAGCTGTGCCGAATCTTCGAGGGAAAACGGCTTAGCTGCACTGAGTTCTCGGTTTAGAGTCTCAGTTAAATCAGCGGCGACAGGATGGCCGAGTATACGGCAAAGATGGCACAACATCTGACGGTAGATCGACCACCATATCCGTGGCTTGAATAAATGCCACACGTGCAGGAATTAATAGAAGCCGATCCCTATTCAAACAGAGGAGAGATCATACAGGAAGATGTGAAAAGCCAGCGCAATGGAAGCGGAAGCGCAACAAAGCACTAACCTCTTTCTGTGCCAACAGTTCGAAGGCCAGTTCTCGCGGCAAAAGACCTTGAAACCACGGTGCCTGTCTGAGCGCCTCCCATTCTTTGCGTGGTCCCGGCCAGGAGGGCGCATTAACACTTGAATTGCTGGACTGTATTGGCTGTGGTGTCTGAGTTGGAGTAGGAGTGGGTGTCGCTGTGGGGGTTGGAGTTTCAGCCGATAAGGTGGATGTAGACATTACACCGGAGCCAATTCCTCCGAATCGATTAGACGTTGGAGCGGCAGACCACCCAGGAAGGGAAGCAATCTCGGTGGGGACAAGAGCATTCACAGGAGCTGGGGCAGAAGACCTGCCGGTAGATGAGGGAGCGACTGCAACATGTAACGGCGCTTGCGAGGAAGTGAAAACCGGGTACTCTCGGGGCTGGGGCGAGTGTTCAGGTTGCTGAGGTTTGTATGATCGGTGTAAGTTGGCAAGCATAGATTGCTGTTGTTCCTGAGAAGACAAAGAGGTCACTGGCCACAAAGACCGGCGAGAGTTGGTCGTGAGGCCTAGACGAGACCGCTGGTCTGCGATAGTAACAGACGATCGAGGTCCATCGCTGTAAAAAATAAAATAGCCCGTGAGGTATTGCGCAACGTAAGTAGCCTGCATAGGAAACTGGGTAGCGTGAACGAAATTACATCGAAAACACTCCATAAAACATATGGGTAGGTTATCTAACTATTAAATTGTTATGAAAAAGTATGTCCTCTCAAGATCCAACAAGCCAAGTCTACGTAAGCTATGCCTCCCTGTGAATTCACATGTTCCGTGATGTCCACGTTTTGGTCGTGCCAGAATATGCGGACTATTCTATGTGAAAGTTCATATACGTAGCCAGGTACTCTATATGATCTAGATTGTGTAACCCCATATCGCCATTTGCAGTACTGTAAAAGTACTGGGAGGAAAACCAGTCTTCTCTTTTAAATAGAAATTGGGTGTTGCTCGCCCGAAAACACTGCACTACTATGATGCGTTTCGATGTTATTACATCTCATCAGATAGAGTTAGCAGGCATGGAACCCGGGACCATTGGGATGTTAGTTGTGACCGCTACCCCTAAGCCACCGGGTCACAGGCAACACTTGGCACAACGGCATAATGAACGATGTTGAGGGTTATTTTGAGGTACACGTTGTGTGGATGGATTGCGACATCTTGGAAAATACTTGGAACCGATCGAGAACTCATGATTTCAGGAAGGTCTGAAAACAACCGGAAGCTTTTGTATCAAAAGCGAAACGTTGCCCACAAACTATACCAACCGGTTGTTTTCAAACTTTTCTGAAACCAGTCTTCTTTTTCTTTCTAGGGTTTGGGTGTGTCGGTGGCGAGCGTTCGAGGTGTACACGTGGGAAACATCATCGAGACAAGACCGTGGGGCATTCGCTTCGGGGGTAGATCTGGTGACGACCGCGTTCCAACTAGGTGATCATAGCAAAATAGCAATGTGAAGTGCATAAAGGTGTGATAATCACGACCGAGAGCAGCGCGAAATTCAGGGATATTGGCTAAAACAGGAAAGTGCAAGAATAAAGTCACAAACAAGTGATTAAATGTGTATTAGCAACTGAATGAGTAACTACACTCTAAACGAGTGGAGCACCTTACGTCCAAATAGGATAGTTGGCGTATCTATGAGATTCGTTGGCTAAAGTCCACTGATCAAAAGCGCCACCCAAGTGAGACCAACGAACAGGACGACATCAATGTTCTATTTGTTGGCAGTCATCCTTGAATATCGGTTTAAAACTCACTGAAACGGCGGTTTGCTAGCTTTTAGTGATGCTTAGAGTACACTTTTTAGTTCCATACACATATTGTTGTTACCTGGGTAAGGAGTGTATAACAGAGTAAATCAGTTACCCGCGCGCAAAGATTTCGGTTCATTTTTGTCGCTATGGCCTAAGTAACCAAGGGAGAGGAATGTCAATCGGGGCGAGTCATCTGCATGGTGAACATGATGGACAGATGAGTGGCGTTAAGGTGGACGAGAGTTTATTCCAATCTATCTTGTAATTGCAGACAGACAAATACAAGGCGCATATGGACGCTTCGGGAGATTATGGCGTTTCTTTAAGAATATGATTTCCCATCCGTTCGTTGGGAAAATCGGCAACCCCCAGGTTGATCCCGGAAGATTGGAGAAAACATAAGCGGCCATGCATGCAGTTGAGTGATGGCATATTGAAGAGGTCAGGTGCATTGTTTCCGATGTTAGGAAATCGGCACAAAAGTGGTGGCAAATAGATCGGTCTTGCTGTCAGTCAAACGCGAAGAGTAGCTAGGGGAAGTTGCGGTGAATCGAAGTAATCAATCTTGAGTATGATAACCAATGTTGGTAACGATCAGTCAGAAGAACGCGACCAACCGCTGTGTTGCAAGGTGTCCGTGTTTTGTAGTGTTCCGTATGTCCCGAAGAGCACCGCTGCTTGGTGTAGTAAGCGCCGTTAATTCCGGATATTAGAGTGCATGCGATTAGCAAAGCACTGCGTAGGGGCTCGTTAAAACGACTATGACCGGTTGCAAGAATGCAGTAACGGAAGCCCGAGTGGGCACTAAGTATCATCGAAAATAAGCACAATCTTGCGACCAGAGTGTAACTGATTCCGCAAGCTCAGTACGAAAAGCACATTAGGTCATGGTTCAGGTTTGACTGCATCGCCATCAGATACAGACAGTGGTGCATGACAGCACAACACTGTTGTTCGGCGTGAAACATTTGTTCCTATTCTGAGCATACCTCAGCTAAGGCACACGGTCCAAGCATCAGCGAAATGCTCAAGTGGTGTGTGTCGCCAGTCGACTGTATCTGAAATCCGTGAAGCATGAGTATCTGTCTGATTTACAGCATCAGCCGTCACCAACAACGGAGTTGGAAGAACAGAAAATGAATTGGATTCGTCTCTGATGTGCAATGTCGAAAGAGCACTTTAGGTTTCTTATCATCACAGATAGAATAGTGTTTGAATATCTGGTTTCAATTACCGTATATTACTGTTGTGTCGCCGCTGATGCCTTCATCCCACGACCGCAAGAAGAAGTCCAAAGACGAACCAGAATCAGACTTGTATACATGAAATCACAGTTGTTTATTTAGTTTTGAGGGCAAAATGAAGGGAAGCTACTAAAGTACACTTGAACCAACCAACAGAAGGAAAAACGTCAAATGCAACGGCGAATAAGCAACCGTGTACTCAAGAACGAATCGCATATGTCCCTAAAAATAGCATCAATGGACTCCAAGCGTAAAGCGAATGTCCGTTTACAGTGACGGGCACTGGCCAATCAGAATGACGAAATGAAACGTTTAAACAAAGGTCACGAAACAAACGAGAATAAGGAATGCAGACCCAAAAGTTGAAAACTAGTACAATAAGCATGTGGCAATTAAATATTCCTTTAAAATAACCAAGTAGAACAGTGATGAGAAAAAACCAATGGAACAGGTTCTTGCGAATGGCGCTGGTGAAAAGGACATGACGATGAGCGGCCATTATCAAGGACGTGAATGTACCAATCGGGCTAACCCAGTAGAGCGTTTAAACAACAGTCAAGAAATGGAAAATAGGAAGAGTAAAGAATAGCTATCAAGCTCGTTCAAAATGAATGAATGTCTAATAGCTGTCATCCTAATAATTACCGAATATAAGCTGATGATTTGTGGACAATTTTGCCTCTCTGTAGAGGGGGTAGGCTTGTAGAAAGTCCCGTGCAGGAACCACACAGGAATTCACTGCCCACCACGACCCTTATCTCCCCTTAGCACCACCCGAAAGTGAGGATGGTATTCCAGACGGGGATTTGAAGTGCTTTTAAATTGATAGGTTGCTTTTGTATCGAAAATTCTCGAGATATTGCAGATTTGACGTTCGCAATGGATGGCAGTAGGGAATCAATAGTCCTTAAACATTATGTTATGTATGCCAGGCTATTGGGTGCCTTAAAAGTACAACATCGTCCCATACCCCTGACGGTGAATTTTGCTCCCACCCGCTGATCTACTCCGGTTCATATGTACGAGCCCCCGACTATGCAGGGCGGCCTGTCTGACACACCTAACCCTGTATCGTCGGCTATCTGACCTGGTCCATGTGACTTGAGGTGTCGTGCGGTGAAAGTCTGTTCTGACGACCCTATGCCTCATTAAGCGCAATTATAACACATTACGGCCACCAGAAGTACGACAATAAATGGCGTAAGCGGTGCTCTCAATGTAGTGGTTTTACACCGTTATTCCCCCATCTAAAAAGAGCCAATAGACGTCCGGCAAAAAGCAGCGTGATAGCAGCCTGGTCCCAATCGCTTCCAAATCACTGACTTACATTATGTTGCGGCGACCAACTGATTCACGCAAGAAATGAATCGGTAAAATTCGGGTCGGTTTCCACTCCGGCAGAGGGTGAGTTAATCATCTTTTAACTCCTCGACAGGTGCTTGAACGTCACCGTTCGTACAAACAGCAGCTCGAGGTACTTTTCCTTGATTTTTAGGTAACCTTTGATTCCGCTAACTGCGACTGTTTGTCGTGAGTTCTACTATTGAAGGGTGTAACAGGAAAACTCCTCACCATTTTCGAACCCCTGTACCACGATTCCCGACAGCTGGGCAAGAAAGCTGATTGCCAACGCTCGCGCGTTTGCCACCAATCGTGCTTGGGAAAGACCTTGCGAGCGTGTTAACAGGGCCCAGCCGAAAGCTGATGAAATCGCGCATCAGACATCACGTGCGTTGCCATGCCCCGGGTAGGCGGACGAAGACTGGAGTGCCACAGCAAGATGGTGAACTGGACGGATGGAGCGGACAAGCATGTGTGGAGCGTGGGCTTACAGCCAAATCCGCAGGGTGATACCGACATATAAATATATGCGTTCTCTACCCCAATAGAACTCTGGTCTGCTGAGTCTTCTTCTGTATTTCTTCCGGTCGGGTTTGCCAAGGCGTCAAACAGAGCACGCGCAAGGGTGCAGATTTAGCAGCAGGCGTAAATCAACCGGTCGATTGCGGGAGCAGCGTTATAAAACTCCCGTGGTCGAGAAAAAGCCCACGGGGAACTGAATCATTAGTTTATCACGACAAGAGGATCGTCCCAGGGTTAGCCCACTTCTCCAGTTCTCCTCCACGTCGTGATCAAAATGAGCATAAATGACCCTACCCCGCCACCTTCAACTTCTTTTGGGATCAGTGTCCCACTGGAAGCCTTAGCGTCAAATCCAGAATATACGGCCGATGTAGACATCCTTGGGTTGAACGCGGCTATTATGGAAGAGCTACTGAATGGACTGACGCGTTACGCTACACACGTTAGTACGTGCTCTGCGAAAGTTAAGGTAATGGTAAATTCCTGCTCCGACTCATCACCCACTGTATCTACCACGGAACAACTGCACGTAGTTGCCGATCGATGTAATTGAATGAGTAGCTATGTCACCCATGGTGATCATATTACCGAATCGATTACCGCATGCTTTGCTAAAACTCGAGCTGGCTTTCAAAGCCTCAATCACGCATGGAGAAGACGAAATGTAAGCGTGTTGGTTAAGAGAACGGGTCAAAACGCTGTGGATCGCATGTCTGTCCGCTAGATGTGGAGAACGTTAAGAGACTGGGTGTATTTGACTAGGGCTACCTTTGAAGTACTGTACTTCATCATATAGTGCTTGATAACATGATTTGACCAGTCCAAGCAGAAGTTTATGGTGCATATGAAGCTTCAAGAACACATCCCGAGTAGTGGCGATGCAGTAGTCATAAAGCAACAACTGAAGCTTGGATGACCTCCGGCACAACGGGTAATAAGCAATGACACCGATGTGCCCTTCGCCACGGACCACTAGGCATCGTTTCAGCTCACATGGAGCCCCCAGAAGCGCCTATGGAGGAATAAATGAATTTTATGTGCTCATCGCAGCCTGAGGTTTTAAATAAATATCTAAAGGTTTATTCCCGACTATGTCGGGTTCCATCGCGTGCGCTCATGTTAGATACAATAGATGTGGTAGCTCCCTTAGGCCCTGGTCGCACGATGTTTTACCTGGACCATGTGGCAGAAAATACCCAGAGGAATAAACTTGTAAAAGATATATAGAGGATGGAGCTACATTAACGATCATTTAAGGCGCCATTTGGACCAAAAACTACACTCCCTGTTCTTTCCTCTTATCGTTTCAGGCTTGCAGCAATGAACGATGAGCCTAGGTGAGACCCAACGAATGCTTAAAGCGTAAGTCAAGAAGTTTTCCCCTCTACGAACGCCCGTCCTACCGGCTGCGTACCGAGCAACAGGAAAGGTAAATGGACTTATGCGACGATACAGAGTCTTCACAAATGCAGAAAAAAGTTGCCGTGAGGTGCATTTCGAACAGTACTCGTGCCAAGTTTATTAGCATCGGCACATGAGACCAAAAACGGGATGGAGACCCCTGATAGACCGAGGGTTGCTACATTATAGGCCCATAGACCTGAGGTTATTGCACAGGTTGCCAAATCAATGTCTTTACTCGAATTGCCCCCACCGAGTCTCTCGTTCACGTAATCCTATGACGAAAAAAGTACACATTAGAAAGAATACAAAGATAGCTGTTGCTCCCATTGACTTCTTCGCCACACCTTAATTAGACTTTCAGAAGGGGGGGGAATGCTTTGAAGCCTCGTGTGCATTACACAATGTAGTAAAGGGAAAATGGGGTACTGCCTGCAGGAAAAACACTGCAGCACACTGCACGACGCGTTTCGACCTCATTTGATCTCATCAGGTGTAGACAACGGGCCTCGAATCCGAGGCTATTGGAATAGTAATCGAAACGTCTACCCCTCTGATTAGCGGCTCGAGACGGACAATTCTTGTCACAACGGTTGATGACTGATTGGCGGATCGTTTTGAAGTACTCGTTGTGTGAATGGATCATGGTTAAATCGACCACCGGGACCGAAACTGGTGAAACGGAAGAATAATATGGCTTCGGCTACGGTCCCAGTAATCACACGGATCAAGGTTCACTTCAATGTGGATTGTGGTCTACATTGAGATTGCGTGTCACAATTCATTCACAAAGCAAGAACTCCAAAATGATCCCCCGAAAATTTATTAACCATTGTGACAAGCATTGCTCGTCATGACCCGGTAATCTAAGGGGTAGAGGTTTCGACTACTATTCCAATGACCCCGGATTCGAGGAATGCTATCACCATCTAATGAGATCAAATGAGGTCAAAATGCGTCGTGGCGGGCGGACAACACCAAGTGTCCGGCTACGGTCCACCAATCGCATTGACCAAGGTTCATTTCAATGTGAATCACGGTCTACTTTGAGATTGTGCAGTCCCTGTGCTTACGAACGAGGTCAATGTGCGACATCTTCTGGATAAGTAACCAAAAACCAAAGCCGGATAAGCTAAGGGCAAAACACGTCACAAAGGAAGCAAACAGCTGTTTAGGCGCTACCAAAGAAAGCGCACGTTTAGGTGGGTCCCAAGTAAAAGAATGAAACGTGGACACCTTGTGCGCAGACATAGCGAATAAGCAAGCAATTAGCTCATTCTGAAGAAAGATAACGGGTAGTTAACTGTATCAATAACAGTGAGCGAAGAACACAAAGCAAGGACGAGGATATCAGTAGATGCGGGCCTAACAACAACGGAATTTCCTCATAACAACTAGATGGTGTAATTTACCCATGATGACGTGACTGAGGCGAATTGGAAGACGTCGTAGGAAACACTGTGGGAGGTTGGAAGGCACGAGTGAATTGAGGTGGGTCATCAGCACGTTCGCCAACCTTCACTTCACAGCGATAATGCGGATAGCCATTACCAATGGCAATCTGAGAAGGGCGTATACAGGAATCACAGTTGGAAGGATCCAGTGCTGTTCTCGTATCGGTTCCCGAGCCGGTAGAAGACGCAGGAGTATAGAACCGCGCGGGAACTGGACTGGACACCACATGTTTCTGGGGAGGAGACGATGAAATCAGCCCTTCGCTACGCCTAAGGGAGTGGATTCTGCAACGGGGAAAGGAAGCGATATTAATCGAGACATTTAATGTGCATATCAGATAATGACGTTAAAACCAGACAACACAAGGGTGTGGTGAGATCTCGCTGTCCTCACGCAGGCGTACAGAGGGATGAAAAGTGCGGGGATGTGTTTAGATTGAAACTAGCAGATCTCTAGGAGGCAAGCCGGTGAGATGGGAGCTTGTAAAACGGCATATAGCATGAGGTAGCTAAGTGTAGTGCATAAATCCAGCGCCAAGAACATCTACCGCGACGACTAGACCGTGTCAAAGGTAGACGGACGAAGCAATGTAAAATGTGCTCCTTGCTACGTACGAAAGAGCCACCTCATGAAATTGGACCCAGATTGAGAGACTGAGACTGGGACTGTATTTAAGAGCAAGTAGAAAGGTTTCTGTACAACTATATCGAATTACGAAAAATCAAAAACATTTAGTTGTGAATCATCAGCAGTTGTGTCTGGTCCGTTAATCGTTTATCCTTGTTCGGTTAGGAATTTGTACTAGTGTCATTATTTTCGGGCATATGATGTCTTCTTTTGGCATTGTATGTACATCGTTTCACAAAAGCACAGTTTTCCGAAATAATCGTGGATACGGGTTTTAAAACACTTCACAGACTCGGCCTCTACTAATCCTTCGGGTAGTGTATTCCATAAGTTTACGATTCTTCGTTCGATACAAAGCTGATGTGATACTTTGTTCATGTTGAGGACCCTGAGTTTGTAACGGTGTCCTCGGGTGTTACAGGGTTCCCGCAGGTAAAATATTGGTCGCAGTATGGGGAAGTGATTTAAGTGTAGTACTCGATGGATCATAATAAGGTCAATTCTTACTCGGCGATAGGATATGGGCATAAGCGTCAGAATAATTCCTTATAGAATTGCTTTGATCATGAAAAATTCGGTGATCTGACCTTCGGTCGGCTTTTCCTGCACAGCGGCGAAATACGCTAATTAATCACTATCATTAATCCTACTACTATTTTACTTCAACCCGTTTATATTCGTCTTTCTGTCGTTGTTCACCAGGACTGGACCGACCTCTTGGGAGGATGGATTGAAGCTACCAAGCTAACGAGTACACGCATGCAAGATGCATTGTCATGGAGACACTGGTGTGACTGATTATGAACCACAGTGCACTGTCATCTTTCTGACGTACAATAAAGGAAGTGCCATGCTCAAAATGAACGAATGATGGAACGGGCTAGGTAGCCCAACCGCTCATATAGTATGCATAAAAAGCAGTCCTAAAAATATGTCGAATAAGTGATGATCTACTTGCTAGTTCGCCACACTAGTATACAGCCAGATGAAAGGGCGGTTGAAATCTTTCGAGGGAATGCCAAGCATGAAAGGAAGTCTTCTAGAGACGCTTCCGTGGATTACTCCAGTTGAAGGTCTGAGTCCATTACAGTATTTATTATTATTATTATTGTTAACTCAATCTTTCCGATACATCCAACTAATACTTCACTCGAAAATTGGTTTGCGTAGCGTCTCGAATAACTTGGACATCTATCGGTTTTATGTGGTGCCTCTGCACAAAGTGATCAGACAACTTAGACTGTCTCGTGCTGTCGAGGAACATATCGTTTAATCATATACTACTGAATGCGCCACGGATAGTAACGGATAAATGAGAGAAAGCGTTAGACAGATGTGTTAAAAAAAACCAAACTCGACAAATAGTCAAGGATATCGACCGACGAAATGAAGTCAGTGGAAGTTAAGCTATCCGCGGTAGAGAAGTAAAAAACACTCTATTCATTGCGGATAGAGTGCATTCAAACAAGATGCGAATTTAGCATGTTTACATGGTTCCATGGGCTATTTGGGGAGGTGTGTTCTAAAGGCCACAAACGTCACTTACATCGAACTAGTTGTTGTGTACAGACAAGGCGAACGGAGGTTCATGGAATTTCATAGTGAAGGTTGTGAATGAATCGAGAGCCCACCTAGCAAATTTCGTCAATGGAAGGAGCATATAAGTGGAAATATAGAGTTTTCTCACTGGTCACTAGACACACACTCTTCCGAATGATCAGACCTGCAGTCATTAGTATAAAATATCGTGAGTTCTAGTTTTAACATGCGTTTTCGGTGGAAAGCGTATCACAGCAAGTGTGAAACAGATAGCGAGGTATACTGGAATCACTGCAGTAATTGTGTACAGAAAGACACCATCGTACAGGCTAGAAAGTAGTTTGTCTTCTCGATTAAAATGGTACGAAGTGATGATCTGCAGAGCGACGAAACTGTTTCACGAGATTGTAACTGGAAGGTGTCGGAGTAAGGGTTTACTGTCCAAAAACCAATTTAATTGTGAAAGCATATCGGTTCATAGTTTTCTTTCATTATCGATGGAGACCGGGACGCGGCAGATGAGGTGGGTGCTAGCAGGTGTGCCGGACCATTGCAGGTTGGAAAATATTTCCATAATTCTGAATGCATAAGTCAACTTGCACCCAGCATGAACAAGTAACAAAAGACAACCAGCAGAAAATCCTCCCACGTAGAGGGTATGGGGTGAGTCACCGCGTCAAACAATACTTTATGCTAAGAGGATATGTGGTATGTTGCGGTTGCAGGTTTACAGATACAAGGTGAAGTTTGATACAGAAGCGAATGGGCAAACAACTTTGTATCGCCAGCGGTCCAAGTAAGAAAAGAGACATAGAGCAGCGACAGGCGGAACAGTAAAAGCCGACGGTTGAAAAAGGAAGTGAATTTCTATCAATCGATTCCCAATGAGTTGCGGAACAGGCAAATGTCACCCTATACAAGCTACACGACAAAAGAATCGCAACGGGTACATATATCGATTTTATCCACCGCAGGACGACTGGGGAGCGTTGCATCCACAGTGTAAAAGACACTGGCGCTCTGCTGCTAGTCTTACTCGTAGACAGCACATGTTTCAGCCGAAGTGTCATTGGCCAGGTTTACCAAGGCTGAATCGGAGCATTCGACCCTATTGATTCAATAAAGCGAATCAATTTTGCCACTGCATCCAAACAACGGTATCTTTCAAGATAAGTAACCAAAGGACGAACCAATGGCATGAATTTACAATAGCTCCAGCTGACTCTAATGGTTGAACTTAAAAGAAAAAGCTCATCGTAGACCACTTACCGCGCATGGTTTGCAAGACTATTCTAACTGAATGTGTTCACATACATAGTGGCTTGACATGATTCACGGATTCGGAAAGCGCATCACCAAATCGCGAGTATCAAAAGACGCAGCAGTTAGCTACGTTTGTGTAGGAATCACACGTCAAGCACATGAGTAAAAGTAACAACACAGCCCCAGTGGATCCGAGTCAGTGGTCATGTGAAGTCAGCGCCACTACAGAGCACAGCTAGAAAATCTAGAGCACCGGTGAGCAAGTGACAATGGTCTACCGTTACGGTGTACAAGACGCGTAACGACTACAGCAAGCTCGGAACCGCAGGGAATTATTTTTATTATTACGCTGCACGAATCTATCGCAGGAAAGTATGCATGTACACTGCCAGACTAAGCGCTATATTTTCAACACATGGTGCCACAAGGTATGGGAAATATAAAAAAGAAATGAAGAGAACAATAAGGTAAAACAGTTTTCATGAGAGTAGAGTGTCCCAACATGTCTGCCGTTGCGCGCAGTTTATTACTACATCTGAGAGGGCTTCCAGCCATGTGTGCTAGTGATCCTTGCGCCCCCCCCCCCAAGTCAGGGAGTCGAAAGCGCAGGACCGCGGCTAAGTTTGAGGTTAACCCCCTCATGTATTTGACCCAAGTCATACACTGGCCACCCTGCATTCGATTCCAGGCAATTTCTGCGCGTGCGTAGACAGCATGGCGAAGTAAACGATGAGTAGGCATGCGAAGCATGTGCCTAAGTCACTGAACTCTGCGCAGTGAAAGTATGCTGCTCAGCGGCTGGCGACGTCTGTCTGATCTGAAAATTCTCCGTCGAACATCATCATTATTAATATGATGTTGCCATGGTACAAAAGTAATGGCCCAAAGGCGGCGGTAATCAAAGACAGACAGCCATTCAGAGTCCTTTGCAAGAACAGGGGTAGTATGTAGCCACAGAACAGGACCGGTCTCACTTTAGCACTGTGAACTCGGCCCTTCAGAGTGACACAGATCGCCTGGAAGCCAGAGATGACGGAGGTTGACATAAAGTAACCCGAGCCTTGGAGACGTGCAAACAAACCTCATCCGTTAAACCATTAGCGTTGAGGGAGTTTCCCAGGTAAACAAACTCGTCTACCAGTTCCATCGAGGGTCGGACAAGAAAACAGGTAGAGTTGAAACCGATGAACGTGGAGCTGGTAGCAAATAAGGTGCGATAAAACAGATGTGTCCATGAGAAGGTCATCTTAAATAACAAATTCCGTGGTGCACTACATAAACGTGCCATATGGCGACTTCTGAATGGGTTAAAGGTGGTGCGAAAAGCAAGAAAGGAAGAGGATGTATGATCGAGAAAATCGATCTGCAGCACTAAGCTGATTTTAAGTCACAAGCTTGTCCATTGGTGGCCGAGTGGTATGCATGTCTTGCTTGCAATCATGCCACCGGTTCGAATCCGTGTAGGGGCGGGCGCCCACGCGCGACTGATGGTGGTCGCGGGGCAGCGAAGTGCCGTTACGGCGTACAGTTGACACATTACTATTATTATTGTTATTATTAAACATTCCATCTCGGTAGAAACCGATAAGATTGACAGAATTAACGTTCGATAACTAAACACAAAACACCAAATGCTTGTCCGAATTAGGTGCTCTCAAATGCAGAGAAGCACTAAACATACGTTCTGGCAGTGTTCACGCAAGTCAGGGACTACAAAATATGGCTTTAAGGAAATGTTAAGAAATGATGAGGATTTTCTAACTCGATAGTAAATTCACAGAGCAAACGACGCAAAGATATTGCAGAATCTCTAACACAGAGACGCTTCACCAAGCATTTCACTGGAATGGGAAAA